GTGTGTGTGTGTGTGTGTGTGTGTGTGTGTGTCTGTGTGTGTGTGAATCTGAAGGACGTCACCTCCTTCACTCAGCAGCTCAGGAAACCCCGGCAGAGCCGCTCACGTGAGGAAACATCACCAAAATCTGCCAGACCAGCAATCAATCGCCATGAATTATTTATAAACACACACACACACACACACACACACTCCCGACCTTATTCATCATGCATTAGTGTCAACACCTCTCTCCCACAATCCTTCACTGCGAATGGCCCTCTAACACGCTCTGAACTACTCCAGAAACCTCCAGGGAAACAAGCACACATTCATCCAGACATCTAAACCACAAACATCTATTATTTTTACATAAAAAACAGACTCAAAACCTTCTCTGACCCCAAAAAGAGAACTTAAAACATAATTTACTTAATTTATGATTTATGATACACCCCCAAAATGTTTCAAGCAATTTCTGAGAACAATTCTGTCTGCAAACACACATTTGTACACATATTCTTGTTTTTACATGGAGAAAATGACATTTTCTGTCCTCTAACCCTCACAAACAATTAGCTTATTTTAATTAATACGTTATTTACAGGTTTATTAAGCATTTTCCACTGAACGTTTCCACAAGGCAGATTGTGAGGATATTTGGTGACCATAAATGAATTAAATAATTTATTTAATTTAATAAAATAAATAAAATCATTAAGAAAATATACTTATTATACAAATTTTAATATAAATATATAACATATAACATATAATTTAAATATGAAAATAAAAATATATAATTAATACTAATAAAAAATAAAAATAATATTTCTTTTTTAATAAAAAATCATTTTTGTGGTCCAATTTTGTGTAAAATTAAAAATGAGAAAAAAGACTAAATTAAAATATCTTATTTAAAATGTTTAAAAAGCATAAAAATACAAATACAAAAGGCAAAAGGATGGAGGCAGACTAATAATAATAATAATGCTATTTCTGGAGACAACTGCAAACATACATTTGTTCTTATATTTTGTATATTTTAATTAATATGTTATTTTACATGTCTATTAAGTATTTTCAATTTAACATTTTATAATGCAGGTTACAAGGACATTTGGTGCCCATAAATGAAGTAAATAATTTAATTAAATTAAATAATTAACAAACTATTATTGAAATATTAATATAAAACATACATAAAATATGATTTTAATATAAAATAAAAAATGTAAATAATTTTTGTTCCAATTTGATGTAAAATGAAAACAAAAAAAGACAGAATTAAAATATCTTATTTAAAAATAAAAAAGCATAAAAATAAATATACAGAAGGCAAGTCAAAAGGATGGAGGCAGTCTAATTGTAATAATAGTTAATAATGCACTTTTCTGTCTACAAACGCACTTTTGTTCTTGTTTTTACACTGAGAAAATGACACTTTCTGTCCTCTAACCCTCACAAGGCATTTGTATATCTTAATGAATACATTATTTAT